AAGTCTTTAGATTATAACAAACAAATCTTTACATTCCGTCAACCTCATAGAGAAAAGGTCAATAGTACTATGGTAAATTTCAGCTTCATGGTGACGAATTTGTAATTCCTTAACGTGAAGGGAAGCTATAACTTGTTTGAATGTAGATATATATTTGGCAGGAATATATACATACTATCAGACAGTCAAGCTGCATTAAAGTCCTTGAGTTCAGTCCAATTTATATATAGGACGGTTCTTGACTGCTACACATCTCTGAACGAAAGAATGTCGATGCAGCTCAATATTTCTCTAATCTGGGGTCCCGGCTATAGGAATATTTTCGGAAATTGCAAAGAAGACGAGTTAGCCAGAAAGGGTGCTTCAGGACCATACTCGGAGCACCTTGACTATCTGGGCATATCGCTAACATCATGTAAATTGTTATTGAGTTCTTTCTTCACTAATACTTTCAACAAAAGATGGGAAGACTCAACGATATGTAGACATCTGTGTGCAATCTGGCCACTTTTCGATAAAAGGAAATCGAAAACTCTAATTGAGATGTCCCGCAAAGATATTGGTCTTCTGGTACGGTTGACTATAGAACACTGTAAACTAGGGAACCATGCTAGAAGACTAGGTCTTGCTTTCAATCAAATCTGTCGTAGCTGTGGGGAGGACGATGAGAGTGCAGCTCATCTTTTGTGTTTTTGCCCAGCTCATGCACGTAGGCGACTTAGTACTTTAGGAGCCCTCTTCCTTGAGGACCTGGACCAGTTACAGGATCTGACTTTAAATCTGACTTTAAAGGTTCTAGGTAGTTTTAAACCCTGAGGTTTTCATTACTTATATACGGTATCACAATGGGCCAATAGACCTAAGTGGATCCACTGGGGATCACCGGTATAATCTAACCTAACCTACGTAAAATTAAGTCTCTATCAAATTTTGTTTCTAACAGTTTCTAACTTACTTAAGAGTGCTTGAATTACTTGAATCTCAAGTAAGTTTACTGGTCTAACGAAACTAGTGGAAACGTACTTTTATGTTGATATTGTCGAATTCATTTCCTATAAAATCAGTTTTCATGATATTATAATGATTAGCAGTGATGATTGTTACTTCAACCAGAACTAAACTCTAACTTCTTGTGAATTAAATAATTTACGGTTACATTTCTCTTGGACTATTCTTCTTCTCTACTACCCTTTTCTACCGTATTTATATATGAATCTGTATAATTGAAAGTGATCTTAATCGCTGAGCATTTTTTCTGTAAAGTGTTTTTAGTGTTGGCAAGATCATCGTACAAAGATAGTTCAATGAAGTTAACAAAGGTTTTTCTAATAGTTAGTTTTATGATCTATAATAATAATAAATTCTATAAAACTTTTATTTCCTGTTCTTCTCATTCATTTTAATTCATTTATTCATTTCATCTTATATGGAAACTTTAACAAAACTTTAGATAATCATTTGGAAAATGAGCTCCATAGAGTTTTATTTGACTCGACATGATCATAATAAAAGTTTTCATGAGTTTCAGTATTTTTTATGAGCTTAATTCCTATACTTTAATATTCTGTGACTCAATTCAATGATTTGTCCAACGCACTCCATCGTAATTTGCTAGTCACAAACCGCCTTCACCCTTCCAACATTAACAACAAGTAAATCGGTCTTCGTGCTTCATACCGCTTTCAATTGTTAATGCAGACCTTACCGAAGTAACTTGTGGAATGCGTGTAACAATAATGTAATTTAAAAAGAAAAGCCATAACACGACAGAATGGAAGCCTCACACCCGTTGTGACTTCCCTCGGCTTCCCTCGGCTTGCCTCTTCTGACTCCTGTTTAGCATATCAACAGAAACTTCTTGAGCAGTTTTGTCACTTTCGCTACATTTAAATAATTTATAAACTGTTTGACGACATTTTTAGGCGATTTGACTGCTACTTTTATGCTGGGCTCATGTGTGTCAGCCCAAAGTACGTGCTTACGTCTTTACGTGTGGTGATGGTTTTTGTGTGCTGTATGTGGTTAAAATAAATATGGTCGCATTATAATATCTCGGGTTGATGTCTGATAATGTGGTAACAATAGAAAATGGCAGTGGAAGGCAGCTGTGAAAATCTCTAAGAATCATGAAAAATGAGTTTGTTTATCTGTGGACTTAATTTCGTTGCAGTGCGTTTTCTGAATCTCAGGTATGTACCAGATATTCCTCCATGCGTGTCATGCGTGCTTGAGTGTTTATTCAATGGAGCACACAAACATTACAAGCTTCCGCTGATAAAGATAATGAGTTTTTCTTTGTTTAAGATTCAACAATTTTTCTTTAACTTTCGCCGTTGTCTTTCCGTTGCCTTTTATTTCTACCTCTTGAGCTTTTCTTCTGTCTTCTGTTGGTACATTAACATCAGGACGACGACGGTTAGATAAGCAGCGCAGGACTAATTGATAAATATCTGCACATTTATTTTGATTTGGAAAGTTTTTATGAAGTAAATAAATCAAATATGTTTCTGTTGGCATAAATTACAATAAGAGAATATATTACAGCACATTGCGAAAATGAAAAATTCCTCTTAATAAGTAATGATGTTTGTTTTTTGGATGTATTACTAGTAAATGATTACAAAAGTGTTGTATTTCATTTTTGCGTTTAGTACATTTAAATGTTTTAATAATATACTAATGCTTTTAAATTTACAATCATATTTATATTTTGAAATGAAGTTTTTCGAACAGTAGTGAACTACAACAACAAAAACTCATTTTATATTATTCTATATAATTGAATTTTGGGTTGACCCTACAGCTGTTTCGAGTATTGGCAAATACCCATCATCAGTGGTCTTGGAATTAATTTTTGTATTTAATTATTCGTAAATAATTATTTTTGAGGCTGCAAGTACCAGGAATCGAACTTGGATCCTGCCAAATGTGAAGCTCAGAATCAGCGCACCTTAACCAACGGACCCAAAGCCGTACTTGACTTTTAATTTTGCTATGAAAGTCTTTATTAACAAATTTACTTAGTGTGTTTATATTAGAACCAAATCGTATACCAGCTGTAGAATAATTGAATTAATTAATTAAAATTTTTTATTTTTAATTGTTAAATTTCAGTACAATAAGCATAAGGTCTCTACTATAATTTAATGAGTTTTATTATAGAACCAACTTTTTCTTTAATAAAAGTTCAATAAAATGATAGAAAAGATTGCTTGGTGTGACAGTTGTTCTGGAGGGTTGATAGCCTAATATATTTCGAAAATAACGAAGGTATGACATAATTCTAATCACTACAGGCACATAATTATAAATTTTTTTGGAAGTGGAATTGTTTGGACATTGAATATGCTAAATTGATTTTTAACGTCTGTTTTGAGAAAAGAAATTAAATTCTTAATATAAAGTATTGTTTTCAATAAAGAGCTTTTTCTAACAGTATTCAGTTACAACAATAAAAATTTATTATTTTTTATTAATTAATTAAGTTTTTAAGTTAAATTAAGTTTGCCAAATACCCGTCAACAGTGGTTTTGGATTTATTTCATATATTTTATTATTCCTAAATACCGCAAGTATCACTCGTTTGAACTCGTTTTCCTTGGAAAAGGATATGAAACATATGTGGTTTTAACAGAACTATGCCAGAAGTCACATAATTGTCATGTTTTGGCTTTAATGTTGGATAAATTTCTTGAACACATGATTTCACATTTTGGCGCTATGAATTAACTACCAAAATTATAATATTTTCCACCAATGGACTTTTAGCGGCGTTCCTCAAAAGACCGCGTTTTGCGGGCAATCCTCAATGATGTATTTGTGAAGTGAAGTCACATTACCCACTAATAGGTGGAATAGTGAGAAATGTTTTCAGATTCAAAATTTTTTATTTTTAAGCATTATTTTTAATTATTTCATTCTTAAACAGATCATACCATAACCTTGTTTTGTATTTACAATAGAATTTTTGTCCAAGGACTCCAAGTAAATAAATATTAATAAGAGTTCGCATGCTAAAAAAGAGGAGAGCTTATGTTTTCTGCTTAGTATATGAGATATATGTTATATCCTGATGGCTATTGAAAAAGTTTATTTTTTTTGTCGGAATCAATAGAATAAAGTCGTATTAGTATGGCTATTATGTTAATAAATTAATTTTTTAATGACTATAAACTGATGGGCTTATAGCTACTTAAGCACTTTTGTTAAGTTAATTAGTAATTTAAATAGTGTTCATTAATTTATCGTTTATATACGAAAGTAAGTGTAAAGTTATTTTAAGTTTTCTGATAAAA